CCCTTGAAGTCTAAAGTTGAAAGTTATATCGATCATTTCAAAACTTCTTTCTTGTCAAACTGTTAGTTGAATTTATTTCCTGAAATAAATATAATTAGGCAAATATAATTCATTATGAGTTATGATGAAAATTAAGGCAATATGCAGACCTGAAAAGACAGTTTATATGAAAAAGCAAATTCATACTTTTGATGTGCTGCTGTCTCAACATCATCATGTGCACAAAGAAAAATCACCCCATCCTTTTTCAACCTTATAATGGTATAATAAGTATGAGGCTGAATACGTCATAAAATTTTTAAATTATAATGTTTTGTAACTTTTACAAATAAACAAGCTGATACATATATTTTTAGTATTTCTACCCACAATTTTCAAAATGATTCTGCATTGAGAATATTCCAGAACAATGAGTCCACAAAAAAAAAATACAATATTTCCATTGAGCACCGTCTAATATGGTTAGAAAGCTTTGGCTTTTTTTTTTTTTTGGCAGCAAATTTTGAACTGAATGTAAGAGGTTAAAGATGATTTACAAATCGTGTATTGCTGCTTTAAAAAAATTATTTATTTTTATTGGAAAGGCAGATATACAGAAAGGAGTAGAGACAGAGAAGAAGATCTTCCATCCAATGATTCACTCTCCAAGTGGCCTCAATGGCAGGAACTGCACCAATACTAACCCAGGAGCCAGGGGCTTCTTCTGGGTCTCCCACGCGGGTGCAGGGTCCCAAGGCTTTGGGCCATTCTTGACTGCTTTCCCAGGCCACAAGCAGGGAGCTGGATGGGAACCAGTTTCGTCAGGATATGAACCGGCACCTATAGAGATCCAGGTGATTGAATAGCGAGGACTTTAATCACTAGGCTACCACGCCAGGCCCGTATTGCTACTTTTTATATTAACAATGCATACAATCGGGTTGTACAGTTCACTCAGTTTGGGCAAAATCATGGACCAAAATCATCAAGACAGAGAGCTGCTTCATCACCCTGAAAATTCCCTTCTACTGCCCCTACTAACCAGCCATTTCTCCACTTCTGAGCCCATACAGTCATTAATCTGTTTATCATCCCTATAATTTTACCATTCCCATAATATGCATGATAGTCTATATATTCTGACTTCTTTTACTTAAAATCAGCTTGAAATCCATTTGTATATATCATCACTAATATAAATGTTGAGAGCACTTCAAAAAACTCTGTGGACATACCAAATTTCAATATAAATTAAGACATGGACTTTGGCCTTGTGGTTAAGTCACTACCACTGCTTCACATCAAAGTGCCAGGATCCAAGTCCTGGATGTGCTTCTATGACCACTTTTGCGGTAATGTAAACCCATAGAGGCAGCAGTGATGCATTGGACGATCCTGGTGATCCTTGCCACTCAGATCCTCCGTCCCCTCATCACAGTTTTAGCCTGGCCTTGTGCTGCTCTGGCAAGGGTTTTGCAGAGTATGCTAGCAGATGGAAAAAAAAAAATCTCTCCAAATACATTTCTCTCTCTCTCAGCTTCTTTAGTAAGTATATAATATTTTTAAAAGAAAGTTTTAAAACATACTTACATGGCTCTCCCATAAAAATAAGTTTTATGAAGTTGTATCCCTTTATATTGAGTGGTAATTCATTTTATGAGCATGAAACAGTTTTTACTTTTAAGCAGCTGAAAGACAGCCAAGGTTTTTGCAGTTTTAAAAAGATTTGTTTACAAAAAAAGGTGTTCGAGTCTATAAATGTATTTGTTGATATGACACTTCATTGGCTTACAAAAATATTGAAAGTGTATTTTTGCATTATCAGATACTGGAAAAACTTTTACCCAAATCCCTGCCACATCACTACGAGCAATCTTTGAAGCTTCCAATTACTCCAAATAAGTGCCAGAAGCTGATATTTGGCAGTTTTTTTTTTCTTTTAATCATTAGACAAAATATATAGTTTTGTCTTTGTGTTTTTTATTTGCATTTCCTTAATGTCTGGTAGTAGAGAGTTTCTATTTACAAAATTTGTTTTAGCTGAAAATAGACAGATCTTGAGAGACATCCCATTTCTTGGCTCACTCCTTAAATGTCTTCAACAACTGGGGCTGGGCCAGGCTAAAGCAAGGAATCGGGAACATCATCCATGTTGGTAAGGTTAGTGCTGGGAACTTGAGCCATCTGCCAGAATGCAAATTAGCACAATGCTGAAATAGAGAGCAGAGCTGGGACTCAGATCCAGGGGCTCTGACATAGGATGCTCGTGTCCCAATTCACATTTGACCTCTTTGTCAAGGCCCACTCTTGAGCTTTTTTGTATGTGTAAGTTATGATGTTTATGCTCTCCTTAGTGAAGCGTTAAATATTTCTCCAAATCTCTTGCATTCTTTGCTTTCTTATTGTTGAGTTTTTGAGTCCTTTATGTATCCAAATCCAAATGTTAGAAGAATGATTTGTGGATATTTTCACTTTCCTGTGGCTTTTTTTTTCATTCTTTACAATGCCTTTTGCCAAGTAGATTTTTCTTTTAGTTTTGGAAAAGGCTAATGTATGTGTGTACTTTTTATAGATGTGCTTTTGATATTGTAGCTAAAAACATTGTCTAAGCCAAAGTTGCAAAGATTTTGTTAAAGTTTATTTTTAATTATGAAAATTTATGGCTTTATACTTTTAGATTGATCCATGACTAGTTGTTGCTGAATAGTCTATAATTTCTCCATTATAATTCACATCTTAGTAAAAAACAAATTCCTTGAGTATATTCATGTGCCTCTATTACAGGAATAAATTTACAGTGTTGTATTGAAGGATACTCTATTATATAAAGATTTGATTTTGTTTTTAATTTTCTGAAAGTCAAATTGAGAGAGAGAGAAAGAGAGAGAGAGAGAGAGAGAGAGAGAGAGAGAGAGATTTTCCCTGCATGGGTTTACCACCCAAATGATTACAACGTGCAATGACTGGGGCTGGTCCAAGCTGAAGCCAGGACCCAGGAACTATGTCTGTATCCATGTTGGTGCATGGGCCCAAGCAACTGAGCCATCTTCTCCTTTCCCTGGCATACTAGCATAGAGCTGAATTGAAAATGCAGTATCCGGTACTCAAACCCACTTTGAATGTCAGGCTTGCAGACAATGGCTTAATCCCCTGCACCACAATGCCAACTCCAAGGTTATTTTGTATTAAATGTGTAAACTTATCCAACTGTTTGTTTGTTTGTCTGTTTGTTTTTAGAAATCTTGAGCTATTCAAATGATTTTCCATTTAAATTGCAGAACAGCTTGTTGACACCTATGAAAACAAAAGAAAGCGTAAGGGATTTTGGTTGAGATTTTGTTCAATCTACAGATTGATTTAGGGAATAATGGCATCTAAGCAACAGTAAATCTTCCAAGCTGTGAATTAGGTATAGCTCTTCATTGATCAAATACTCAATTTGGATTCATCAATGTTTTACTTTCATCATATGGATAGTACACACATTTTGTTAGATTTTATACCAAAGTACAGCTCTGATGAGATGCAACTTTCTTTCCAGTCTGCATGCCTTTGATTTCTTCTTTTTGCTTTCTTTAACTTCCTAGACTTTATAATACAATATTAATAGGAGAGTGAGAGTGGTCCAAGTTACCGTTTTCTGATCTTAAATGGAGTACGCTCAGTCACTCACCTTGCATGATGACATCAGCTATTACCTATGCATAGATGTTCTGTCACTTTGAAGTTCTAACTTTCCAAGAGAGGACTGATAAATATCACTTTCATTCTAATTGACTGATAGTATTGTTCATGTCTTCTAAGCTCTTACTGGTTTTCTATTTGAGGAATATCATCTCCAATTTTGAAGATGTACATTTCTTCTTTCATCTGTGGCTAAGTTTGCTTCTTTTGTCTTGAAGCTATGTTGTCTTCTTACAGAATTGGCCTTTTATTGTTATACAATGTCTGCTTTGTACCTGATGGCATTCCTTGCTCTCAAGTCAGTTGTTACACTGATGTAGTGACTCATCTTTCTTTTGCTAGGCTTTATATGATATGATATTATCTATCTATCTATCTATCTATCTATCTGTTTATCTAATATTGGTATAATACATATTATCTACTGACATTTGAAGACTTTAGGGAAAGCTTACAAAGGGGTTTTATAAGGCATGATACTTTACAAATAAATACTATGGCTATGTACATTTATTATTTTGGTAGTATTTGATTTATAATTTCAGAAAATAAGAATATAGCAACAAATCATTGTAGAAACTAACAGGCACATCTTACAGTCACTAAACTGTAATAGCATTAATTCTTAGAGAAATATTTGGTTAACTATAATTATCTTGTTTCTCAAATGTTCCTGAGATTTGCTTTTTCATTTGTTTTGTTTTATATCTTTCTTCTCTGTTAGAAGCCATACTTCAATTGATTATATATATACATCATTGCATTTTTAAGAATGTGTTTATTTGAAAAGCAGAGTTACAGAGAGGCAGAGTTGGAGGGAGATCTTTCATTTGCAGATTCGTTCTCCAAATAGCCAGAGTGGCTAGAGCTGGGCCAGTCTGAAGCCAGGACACAGGAGCTTCTCCTGGGTCTCCTACCCGGTGGAGGGTCTCAAGACTTGAGCCATCCTCTGCTGCTTTGCCAGGCCATCAGCAGGGACCTTGATCAAAAATGGAGCAACTGGGACTCCAATAGGCACCCCTGGATGCTGGCACGACAGGCAGTGGGTTTATTTGCTATGCTACAACATGGCTTGATCTTGGTATTTATAGTCACAAAACAAATTAAAAATGTCTGTATTGGGGGGTAATTAGGCCAGATGATCCTAAATAGGAAAGTGAGATTTTCTTCACCCTGCTGTTTTTATTACTCTATGAATTATTTTTGACAAATCAGTATCAACTCTGAAAAATACTACAAATGTGGTATATTTATAGAGAAACTAACTTTTCCTGCAGCAATATGAAATATATTACCACTTAAATATAAATATTCGTTCTTCTTCTGTTTCCTTACAGCTGCAGAAATAACTGTTCAGCCAACTGTGGAAGAGGCCTCTGACAACTGTACCCACGAATGTCTCATCTTGGGCCACTCTGATGCCTGCTGGATGCCAGCTTCTCTGACGCATTCCAGTCCATCACAGGGACAGGCCTCTGCACTCTGCCGCAGCCCACCCCTGACACAGTCCACTCTTCGTCGCCGCAGTCCTCCGGTGACACAGACCATCGCTCTCTGCCATAGTCCTCCAACGACCCAGGTTATCGCACTGTGCCACAGCCCTCCACCAGTGCAGGCATCTGCTCTCCACCACAGTCCTCCTCTAGCACAGACCACTGCATTTTGTCACAGTTCACCACCGGCACAGGGTTCAGCCCTGCGCTATAGCCCTCCCCTGGCACAAGCTGTTGGGGTCCGCCGCAGCCCTCCTCTGCCACACGCTGCTACCTTGCATCGCAGCCAGGCCCAAGCACCAATAGCTATGCAGCAGGGCTGGGTGCAGGGGGCGGCAACTGATGGACTGCGTGCTCTTGATCAGAGCGGTCAAGGTAGTACAAGAGCTCAGTTTTACACCATGTCCGATAGAATCCATCACAGTGATGATTCAATCAAGGTCATTCCCTTGACAACCTTCACTCCAGGTCAACAAGCCAGACCCTCTAGGGGTGATTCCCCGGTCATGGAAGAGCATCCATTATAAATGTAAACTAGACAGGGTGTATATAATCCAAGTTCACGATCCAATTTGAATAAATAATCCAAATTGATAGCTTTGTAAATAACTTTGTAAATAAAGCAGATACCAGAATAAATCTACAGCTAGACCCTTAGTCAAAAGTTAAAAGTAAGTTTACAATTTAATTCAGATTGTGTAGTTTAAAAGAAACTTAAAAATTCCTACCCTTCTGTACAGAAAGGCTTATCATGGCAGAGTTATTATATAGTGAATACTATTTCTGCTGTACTTTTTTTTAAATTAACACCACGTGCAATATTACTGATTTTTCCATTCTGTTTTTTGTGGACACAGTATGTAGCAACTGGAAATTTTTTAAAAAATAGATTTTCCAAGTTTACCTTTAATTTATCTAAACTTTTGTTCAGATAACATTAGAAGGTATACATACTGCAGTATGTTTGTTAGTCTTTTGTTTGATTTTGTTTTCTTCTTTGTCTCCAGGTTTTTGGTGTTAGTATATCTACCTTCAGAAATGTATAGTATGGACTGTAAATATCTATTTCTTGTGTCTGTTCCTGTTTTTTATGTGTTTTCTACCTTTATTTTAAGGATATATTGTTGATATAATTTGTACATGCATTTTGGTAAATATAAGTAAACTGTACAGATCTAGATCTAAACCTATTTCTCTACTCTTTAGTAGAGTTCGAGACACTAAAGTGCAATATTTGTGCCCAAATTAAGCAAAGATTTGCTATAAGAGGGCCTCTTTCCTTTTTTTTTTAAAGACTTATCTTTGTAGTTTAGTATGAAGTACAGCAGAAATAATATTGTATCTGTCATTTTAAGCCTATATTCCATCTGTAATTGGCTCTTTACCTTGAGTCTGTACATAAAAATCACAAGGAAGGCGGATGCTTTCAGTGCCTGATCCATTTACAGCTATGACTGTAAACTGCTATTTTCTAGAGAAGATCAGAAAGATGTTCCGTCAATTCAACAAAGAAGTATAAATGTAAATAAAACCATACACTAAACCTATAAGACTAAGGGAATTTTACCATTCTAGCTCAACTGATGAAAACCACTGATAACAAGATGCGAGTTAGGAAGGAACTTTTTAAGCGATGTGATTATCAATCTACATCAAAAGTACAAATGAGTAGAATTTCAAAGAGATGTGCAGAGGGAGAAATAAGGCTCACGACTGCTTCCTGGGGTGAATAAGAAATACTCCAGGAGCACACACACACACGAACACACACAAAACAACAAAATCTCACATATGAAACAAGATAAATACTACTAAGAAAAGAATACAGAAGTATTCATGGAAACATTGGTTTCCTTCTGTTGCCTGTTCTTTATTTTCTGCTTTCATCCTCGTAACTGGCCATTATTTTCTAGGTGCACATTTCATGACTTTACAGAAACACCTCCAACTTAATTTTTCTCTATAACAAAATCAAGACACTGTCTTGTTTCAGTATCACACTAAACCAAGAAACAATTGATGTTTTGTGGGGGGGGGGGGAAGTGAATATTTCTTGTTGAGTAAATTAGCTGTAGACTTTGTAATGTGTAACTTGAGATCCGTAATTTATGATTAAACCATGTGTAAATGTTGTAATATAAATTGTGGTAAATGTATAATTTCATTGATGAAGGTTTCCAATGAATGTTGAGAAAGCCTCTCTTAATGTGCCTGGCTGACTGAGTAGTGTTTTAAAATATATATCGTTCCCATTGTGACGCTTTTTAACTCATATTTGATTTGGTGTATAGAATAACTTCCTGACTTTTAACTACGAAAGATTAACTAGTGAAATGTCCAATTAATTGATATTTGGTTTTCTTTTGTGTTTGTTAACATTCCAAGGGATTTGGAGCATATTGGTTTCCCAGGTGCATGTGAATCCTGAAGGACTAATGATGTCTGAAAATTTACTGCAATAATGTCATGTATGTGTATTGCTGTTATTGTTGCTCTTGTTATTGCTGACAAACATTTTAAACCTGGGGAAGATTTAAAAAAAAAAAAACCCAGAATGACAAAATCAGTGCTTCCAGTAGATTTTAGAATGTGTTTTCACTCAGATAAAAGAAAACTTGCAACAGTTATGTGAGACATTCTTAAAAATGCTATTGTTTCCCCATTTTTCCTTTCCTTAGCATTATCATCTACAGACACATACATTTAAAAGGAGATAAATAAGAGAAGCTGAAAGAATGCTGAATGATCTATCAGGAATACAAATGATTGTTATTTATGGTACTGGAAACCAAAATCAAATCCAAAGTTAAATTTGAGACTTTTTTTTTTTTCTGATGGAGTGTATGTTCAGTTACTAGGGAGGCTCTCAAATCCTTTTGTTTAAAAATTTGTGAAGTTTTCATACCTTTCCTAGACATATAGGAATGAACAAATATGCTTTTATTGCCCTTTCTAACTCTGATTTTTATAATCGGACTTAGATTGTGTTAGATTTTGAAATGACTGGGCACCCTTCTCTGGCTTGTTACCAGAGAGGCATTGAATGGGAGCAAGCTATATGTAGCCAAAGAGGCAAGGGGTGTGAGCCCAGTTTTTCTCCCCTGTGCATTCTCTTTGTAAGCTTCCACTAGGTCTGGCTCTGGAAACCTGTAACTCCCAGGGCTTTACGTCTGATGAGGTCTTCCTCATCACATTACAAATTCTGTCTTTCACTGGATGAACAGAGCTATAGGTCGATAAATCTCACAGGTGGCTCTTCTGATGTACAAAAGATAATCTTCGAACTGCAAACTATTTCCCTTAAAAATTTGATTTGATATGAAATTAGAATTTCAAATTAAATCATATATATGAAAATTGTATGTTCAGCCATATTGCTTATTCTATTTTGTGACCATATTCAATATATTGTGATTAATTTGGGGGCGATGATATTACCACACATTTGTAAGTATATACCCAAACATGTGTATCTTATATGCTAAGTACATACATGTTCTTTTCTTGAACTTTATCTTCAATTTTTAACTAATACTGTGTCAGTATATTAAAAAGTAGATTTCACACATGATACCAACATTGTAATAAATTTAGAGTACAACTTGTATAGTCTCATTTAGTTAAACATTTTATTTTTAACTGTGTAAATTTGGTTAGAAAAAAAAATGATTGTTAAATAAGTAGTGTTATTGTGTAACGGTGACAGTTATGAAGAGCCTCTGCCTTCCCAAACTAATATTTGTCACACACATGCATTAAAATGGGAAAAATTGGACTGACAAAAATTACAAAATGTGCAGTACTTAAAGTGTAATCACTTCACGTGTGAAATTTCCTCAGTTCTCAGAAATTGAGTATGACTCATATGCACATTTATTGTTTATATTGACTCTGAATGCACATTAATTTCCTATATACATTTATACAACATCTACTTATTTGGGCTTTTTCTTATTTGCATTCACCTGATTTATATTTTCCATTATGGTTCTCATCTATCTTTTGAAGACAGTATGTTTTGCAAATCAAATTTATAAGTATCATTAATCATTTGTCACAAACTTTAGGCATTTTTTTTTTTGTTTTTTTTTTGCCATTTCGAACTGGCCCAATTGGGCTGGATGACATGGGAGCAAGAGAAGCTGAACTGTACTTGGACAGGAACCTATTTATATCATGTGCCAACTATCACACTGGAACAATCTTATGCAGAGGCCTTAAAAAAATTTGGTCACAACAGTAGCTTTCTTATACTAACCGTGATGTGCTTTCCATAAATATTATTTTTTAAAAGTAGTGCAAGTTGATAACAGCAAGATTAGTAAAGAAAAGGCTGCTCATAAATATGTGTGTGCACAAATGAAATTAAAAAAAAAATGAAGGCAATTGTTTAGTGATTATATGTGATACTTTTAGGAATAAAATGCGTGAAATTTATGCTATCCCTACTTTAACTATTTGGAATTTTATGAAATATGTATTTATGTTTGTATTTGGGGAAGACTCCTCCTCTGTGACATCATACAGCATCTGAAAGTGAATAGCATTCCAAAGAGTACTACCCGTGCTTTGGAATTGAGAGGGTTGGCTAGTGTTTGGCCCGGGATGGCAGTATGTAGTCCAGTGGCAATTGTGTATTAATTGTTCTACTTCAGCTTCTGTATTGCATGTTTTCATATTAATGAGTATTAATAAAATAACTATGAGAAATAAAGATGCATGTTTAGAAATTTTTTAAAAATTATTTTCCATGATACAGTTCATGGGTATGGATTCCTCCCTCCCCCCCTTTCCTCTTCCTTCCCACCTTTGCCTACCATTATTCTCCCCAATATTATGACAACAGTATGGTCCTCTAGCAATAGTTACATGTTCAATATTCTGCTACCCATGTGCACCATAGTATTGTAAGTATAGACAAAGGCGGAAAACTCAGCATCATATCATTGAGGTACATTAAACAATTTTACTGGTAGTCCCCCCTTTATTCAGGAGTAGAAATGCATAGTGTAAGATGTCCTCAGATCCAGGTATGTTAACCTCCATTATATAGCTCATCTATGAGAATGTGTACACACACACACACACACACACACATGCTTGTTCACCTATGTGTCTATTTGATTTATATTAATGCTGTTCCATATCAAAGAAAACATATGATGTTTGTCATTTTGGGATCGACTTATTTTTTAAAAGATTCATTTATTTTACTGCAAGGTCAGATATACAGAGAGGAGGAGAGACAGAGAGCAAAATTTTCTGTCCAATGATTAACTCCCCAAATGACCTTAATGACCGGTGCTGAGTCGATCTGAAGCCAGGAGCCAGGAATTTCTTTCAGGTCTCCCATATGGGTGCAGGGTCCCAAGGCATTGGGACATCCTCAACTGCTTTCCCAGGTCACAAGCAGGGAGCTGGATGGGAAGTAGAGCAGCCAGGATTAGAACCAGTGTCCATATGGGATCGTGGCGTGTTCAGATCTAGGACTTTAGCTGCTAGGCCAGAGCTCTGGGCATGGGATTGACTTATTTCATTGAGTATAATAGTCTCCAGTAGCAAACATACTTTTTTGCAAATGATAGGATTTCATTATTTAAGTGGTTGAGTAGTATTCCATGGAGCAAATGTACCACAA